GCTTTGTTATCAGACAGCAGCACAGAAGCAGCACCTACTTAGTCATGACTTTTTTTTTAAATATATATATCTATTATGTGGTCATTGGGTTTTTGTTTTTATATTCAGTTTATAGTTTTTTGTTGATGTTTCATTTTATTTCCGTTACTAACTTCAATTTAGTCTGTTTTGTTGTCCTTTAAACTATTAGCCATTGTAAGTTGATTATTTTTTTATTTGTAATTTTCTTTTGTAACCTTTAACCTCTTCCAGTCGGTTGTTATGTGTTAATAAAAACGTATGCTTGTCCCGTGTTTACATTTAACTGGTTGGGGTGGGAACATCGCTCACGCACGAAACGTTTCCAATAACTGTTGCCAACAGAGATTGGTCGGAAATATTTGTACAAATCTATTACATTATAGAAATAAAACATGATATCTATATATTACGTGTACTAGTATATTACGTGTACTAGTATATTACGTGTATTAGTATATTACGTGTACTAGTATATTACATGTACTAGTATATTACATGTGCTAGTATATTACATGTACTAGTATATTACGTGTACTAGTATATTACATGTACTAGTATATTACGTGTACTAGTATATTACGTGTACTAGTATATTACGTATATTAGTATATTCTTGCATAGTTTCACGTATACGTGACATGCTTTCCGAAGTGATTACGCCGAAACTAACCATGTTTGGCATTGTTCAGACCACAATCTCACTTTTGTTTGTTTGCCAACCAATCTCCGTTTATTCGGTCATCATCTCACTTTTTCGGCACAGTATGTTTATATCGTACGGTCGGACCATGGCATGTACACCCAGATAGAGAGAGCGGATAATCCGAGTCGATGTATCCTCGAATTTGAAATCATGTCATTTGTCGGACGCCAACTCTGGTACAAAGCTTACGGAAGCTGATGAAGTTGATTTGGTTGGTGTGTGTGTGGGGGGGGGGGGGGGTAACCGCACATGCATGAAATACTAGTAACTAATCGATTTGTTTAAAGGCCGGTAGTCGTCGCGCAGCGCATGTGTGCGAGTTTTGTCCTGGCGCCACTCTCACTAATTACACCACACCTTCGATACATCACAGCCTGGTTTATGTATTGTAAAGATAATAAAACATACATATAAAGATAAAAAAAACTAATGATATGTTGTTCTATTCAGCTTATTGTTTACTAGCCTGGTGGTTGATTTATTCGCATGCTTTTCACAGACTTTCGAATGCTGATAACGTCACGCAATCTGCGTTGGCCAGCGAGATGGGCGATGTACGTCCTCTACTCACTGGAGGGCGCACAGGTACTCGTATTATTTTCTGGGACCTGCGATAAAATTAATAGTCGCCATACGAACGAAGCAATGATATTATATCTGTATGTCTGTCCGAACGCTCAGGCACTCGAGGGGTGTTAACGGAAAGAAGCTTTTAAGATTAATATTTTAAAATTACCTGGTAACCTATATCGTGTACATTTTTGGTGTGTAATATTGTATATACCAGGATCATTACAATAACTCTCATCATAAATGAATACATTTAGAGTTTACATAAACTTTCTCTCCATGGTGTGATTGCAGAACATATTCTTGAAACTTCGGGCTAATCAGTACAAAACGTAATAACTATCTCGAGTTTCGCACTAAATGACGAAAATATCACGTGTTATTTTTATAGTCGGCACAACATGTTGTAGCTGTGCGTGGATTATTCTGTATTGCGTTCAATCACATAAACCCCAAAAGACAATAAAAAAAGTCATCAAAAGTTGATCCAATACTTTTATATAAACATTTGTCGGACTAAAACAGACTTCAATAATTCAAACATCTTTGAGTCCATGCACGAACATCCCCAAATCAGTGAATTATTAAAGCAGAAACGTTTCCCGAGCCGATCGGCAATTACAGCATCAAGTTCATTTATTATTTAGAAAACACGGCCAACGCCCTCGATTTATTTTCCATTAGTCAATATTGATATAACATCTTCACGAGTAACCCAGTAATCAGTTATTTATGAGCATACAAGTGTAGCTGTCAATGTTGCTTAGTAACCGTTTGAACAGGATAGTGTACTCGATATTGGCTTTTATTAATATGCGTCATCTATACGCAGTGTTGTTCAAGTAGTAAGCAGGAGAAAAATGACTCCCTAGTTTTAAGTAATTAAGTCGTCCAATGCTACTATTATGTCAAACAAATTATAGTTGTATCTGTATACAAATTGAGTACAAAAGATTTCATAATTTTAATGAGTATTCACACACCATGCCGAGAAAATTAACTTATATCGTGATACATACATTAACAATCACACAGAGTAAGAGATCATAGAGTGGGCTACAATTCCATGACACGGCCTAAATGGTATTATATGAATGTAATACGAAAAACATACAACGGTTGTCTATGTAAACAAACGATGACAGCCAGCATCACTTACAAATCTTCATACACACACGCATACAAACAACAGTAACTTACAGGTGTCTGGATATTCGCGAAGTCTCCGTCAGGACACGTCGTTGAGGGCGAAGTCCCAACTTAATAGGTTATATGCATTTTGTCAACACAGGTGACGCTATTCAGCACGATCTGCGTATCAATGAGGCTATATGGGTATTCAAGGAGGTGGTTTCACACGAAGTTCGTAGGATTGGGCTTTTTAAGGAATATTCGCAGTCTATCAAAGTCTGTGACATAGTGAACAAAAACAATTGGGTACATCCACATGTACATTTGTGAAATGATTGGGCCAGGAATTGAGCACATTTATTTTAGGTTTCGTAGGAAAACTAGGCCGAGAAAAAAAAAAGAAAATGATTCACATAGATATTGCGCTCTTATCGCGCAATGACCATTGCTGACTGATTTGCCTTCTAAGTCTCGCTATATACACTAGTATATACCTCTGCCACAGACAGCAATCAATTTTGT